TTAGTTAATGTGGCACTTGTGATGCAAAGATGATACAGAACATAACATATCAGCCGCCAGGACTTGAGTGATGAAACGCTTCAGCATTTTTAAAACTTTAAACTTCTGAACGCAATTTACACATCCGAAAACTCTTTTGTTACTAGTAAAGAAGTTAGTTACTTAGTTGCTAGTAACAAGTAACTAATTTCGTTACTTCATTACTTTCGTTACTCCGGCAGAAACTAACGAAATTAGTTACTCAGTTACGTAGCAAATCACGGCATCAGCTTTTAATTTCATTTTTATTCAACATCTGCAAGAAAAATTCAAATAACGAAGAATTTGCGTGTATGTGGCGATTGTCATGATAGCCACAAAACGAATATAAAAAATTAGACAATATGAAATAATTGTTCGTGATAGAACTCGTATTCATCATTTCAAAGATGGTTAGAGTAAACTGGGACAATTGGAAACGATTTTATACTCTTTGAACTTCTAATTAGTATAACTTTGTAAATTTTAATTATTTTTTTCAGATTTTTTTACGCGTAGGTAGAGGAAGAAACTCCTAGCTTTCCAGCTATTTTACATGGTCGTTTCCAATCAGCCCACTAACTTTCACGTACGTTTCCAATTGCCCCAAATGGGATAATCGGAAACATTTGAAAATTTATCAGCGTTTACCTCTTCAATTAGAGCTCAGGCTAATTAATGAGTAGACCTTGCAGATTCTCACCATTTGTAGAGCAATAATTGGTCTATTCACCCGCTGTTTCCAATTTCCCTAAGTGGGGTAATTGGAAATGTTCGTTAGAGCTTTCAGCAAAACACCGGGAAGTTCGCTTGGGACACGGAATTTTTGAAAATTTTTAGATAGGCTTATAGAGAACTTCCTCCTCTACCTACCCGTAAAAAAATCTCAAAAAAATAATTAAAATTTACAAAGTTATACTAATTAGAAGTCCAAAGAGCATAAAATCGTTTCCAATTGCCCGAGTTTACTCTACAGGTGCTTTATTATTATCAGTATTAAAATTATCTAAGGGTATTCAAAAATGGACCTATAAAGAATCAAAACATACGTTTCTTATACCACCAGAATTAATATCAACACAATCACAGTCATCTAATAATGAAAAAACCAGAGTTACTGTGCGTATGCTACCGACAGAAAATGGTTTAGTTAATGTTTAATTACGTAATGCTGAAACTGACGGTTGGACTGGTGGCAATTAGCCGGTGTACAAAATACATCCGATGTTTATGAAAAATAGTTTAAAGATCATCAAGCAATGGCTATAACATAAGATTTTAAAATATTATATACAACCACATTTAATATTAATAATAATAATTCAAGTTCAGCATTATTAACTGTTCAAAAATATATACCATGGTACGATTTAATAAAAAATAAGTAAAAAATAAAAATAAAAACAAGCAATTGATTTTTGTATTAATCGTATTAATTTAATACGTAAACAACAAGTGGAAAAAATATATCAAGAACGTAGACAAATGATATTACAAGCTAAAATTATTCGACAGTCATATGATTATGGATGGACAATTGGAAATGATATTGAATTAAAAAACGGTAATAATTGTACAAATTTAGATAATATACGATTAATAGCAGAATGTAATACGTGTACAATGATCAGTGTATGTCCATTAGATTTAACAGATGATATTGATAAACATATTTATATTGAAATAAACAGGTGCATTTCGTGTTGTTGCACGACGTCAGTATGGACAACGTAATGATACAATACGAACTGGTTTTCAAAGTAATATTTTAGAACTTTTTCAAATATTTTAGGAATAAAACAGCATTTCGATTCCTTTTTTCATTTTAATTTCGATTTTGATATCAATGATGAAGGGTTCGAAAGTAGTGGTTGTACAAAAATAGCTGATAAATGTGATCTATACTCGGGTTCAGATATTGTTTATTTATGTTCTGGATGTAATATAGAATGTCAAACGAATCAAAATCAACGAGCAGCGTGACTCAGTCGGCTAGTGGACAGACAATGTATTTCAAACATACGGAGTTCGAATCCCAGCAATGGCGGTCGCGTGATAGTCTTGGACAAGCTATCTAATGCTCATTATCTAGGTACCACTAGGCACAGATGCAATGAGGGAACTCGATTTCAGTGCCATTGGACTGGAGAGAAGAGAGTTAAAGTTTAAAAAAAAAAGAAATCAACGGCCAATTAATTGTAAATGTTCATGTCCTACTTATCCAATTGATCCAGCTAAATCATATTTACCATACTGTTAAAGTTTTCGAATGTGAAGTGCTCAAATAACTGCCTTTTCTTATTTACCTTATTTTGAACGTTTTTTGGTTCTGTTTTCAAGCAACCAAAATTAGAAATTAATCTTTTGTATGAATGTATTTTGTTCGAACAGAAATCATTCGTGTATTGGATTACATTGTAAACTGAACAGATTTTTTCAATTTATAGTTGGAATTAGGGCTAAAAGTAATAAATTGTCTTTATGCCGGTGTGTGACGCGTCCACTTATTTACATGTTTTTATAGTCAGAAAAATACGTTTTTTGTTTAACTACTGAATATTCCTAACAAGAAACATTTCACCGTGGGAAAACGTTTTCATTAGAGGAAATTTCAAGTAGTGTGTAACTAGACGAGCTGTGCAGCATACTAGAAAAAGAGCGGTCTTGCCACTCGATTGAAGTTTCGTTATATTCCGAAATGAATTCTTGTTTTAGCGCTGAGACAGAAATCATCATCGTAGAGATGAGTTTTAACCCATTCGAGAGAATCAATCATTTTTGAGGATCGTGCACAGGTGCGTATTACCGTAATACGGGCTTTTTTAAAATGATCCGATCTCGGGAAAAAAACATCGCTGATATTCTTCGAAATGAAATTCTAAATGAAAGATGACATGCTTTTTCAATTTTGTAGAACATTATTTAAACTAAAATTCTAAAAAGACTGAAAAATTCGCAATTGAACTAAATCTGTATTAACGATAAAACGATCTGAAACTTGGCTGTGCCATGTAAACTACTAGTCACTTGCTATTATCGGTATCCAGATCCAGACTATTTTTTATAGTTAGTAGACTTCTTTTTATAGTTTTCTTATAGCCAAAAGTTTTCTTCAGACCAGAGAATATGCTTGTGTGCATATGATCAAAATGATTAATTAAAATGATGTTTGTGGACGTGATTTAATATAGGCGGCTATTTTTGGCTGTTTTTCGACTTCGGCATGATTGCGTTTTAATTTTGGATAGTTGTCTAAGACAGTGGCATCCGCGCTTAATAACGTCGACACCTTATCATAAAATTGTATATCAGCATATGTCAATTGATTACCTAAAAAGTATGGACCATCTTGCCCATACGTAGTTAATAACTTTTCTAACGGGTCATCCTTGAAGAACCTGCTGGTAAAAGATAATCGTTTTATCCTTGTACGTCTTAGTCCAACATTCCAAATTTACTGCTTCGTATAATTTTTAGACTGACAAAGCGTCTTCGCATGTTTTTATGACCAAATTACGTGAAAAATCATGTTTTTCTAATTTTGCATCTTGGTTATACAAAACTGACAGGTTTTATTTTGTTTTACTACATTGCGATGCTAGTTTGTTGAGTTTACTTCTCGAATGGTTATGATGAGTTATTTCAAATTCTGGTCAAAAAGAGATTCTAAGAAAAACCACTATCTTTTTAGAGAAAACAGAGTATCCCTTCGAAAAACACCTTTCAGATCAATAAGGAATACTTTCAAAGAAACTTAAGATTTATATGTATTACATATAAATCTAAAGTTTCACATTTTGAAAGTTTTATTTGTTTTCTAAGTAAAGCATATCTACTTAAAATAGATATGCTTTACTTAGAAAACAAATTCTCTCATATTATGGCCTTTGAGAAAATACTTCCAAACTTCACGAATACTTTCTTAAGCACCGAAAATAGTTTAGTAGTGGCTAGCGTTTCAGCTGACCCTCCGCAGTGTGCGTCCAGGCAGACATTTAGCCAAAAATCGAAAGTGCGTGTTCTCAAGATTTCAATGTGGATAAATACATTTCAATAGATGGTCTATCTGATGGCGTTAAAGTTTTGTTCCAATTACTAAGACTCTTCGGAAAACCTTTGGCAGCCCCCTAGTCTCAGCCTAGACGTCTTTAGGCTAAAGTCCCTAAATTGGCCAAAACTTTTGGTGCGTCCTCTTTGAAAAACGTTTTTAAACCTTCTGCTTTTTTAGTTGGATCTTTTTCGCGATATAGCAGTTTTGAATATGTTTCACTTAAATCACTGATTGTATCAGCAACACTATCAACTTTGGCTTGTTCCAAATTGTCTTTACCAGCTAAATTGAATTGTTTGGCAAGAAAACGAACAATTGCCATTGATTGCGGAATTCTTTCTCCATCGACTTCTATATAGGGTACTTGTCCCAATGGCGTATCATTTTTGATACTATCCCAGTTGGCACGTTCAATACGAATATCTTCGTATTTCTGACCAGCTTGTGCGAAGATTAAACGTATTACTTCTGCTCGTCCACGACCATTAAAATAATGTAATTTATAAGTTGTCATGGTAATATAATTAAGGTGATTTCTAAAGCCCTGTGTTCTTGTCTTAAACTTTTTATGAAGGAAAACTGGTAGAAAGGTCTTGCAAGTACTCTACTATATATCTATAAAGATTTTTTTTGCAATGTCATCATTATTACATATTTTCTTTATTCTCCTCATTTTTTACCAATATGAAAGCAATCAACATGATATTGAGTTGTTCAACTATCCCATAATCAACGTTAAATCGGTCGGCGTGTATGCGTTGTATGTCACTGCTTTGCTCTTTTCTTGTATGCAGGGGCATGTGCCTCATAAGAGGAAGAAACAGCAGCTTCATGTTATTGTTAAGATGAAATTTGTATTTAGCTCTATAATGTTAAATCAAGACCACGAAGATACAGAAAGCTGAAACGTTTTGACGGTTAGTGTCATAAGTACTCTAGTGTCTGTTTCTGACGACGTCATGGAACCAATTGTAACGTAGAGGAGGTAAAACATAAGGATTGATTTATACCCGGCAATTTTGTACATAGCAACTACAAGCAGTGTAATGAACTAATGCACATTTTTGTCCTCCCGGTAGTATTTAAAAAAGAAAAAGTAAATTTATGTCATTTCCTGTATGTATGTTGTTGCTAATGACTTTTGTTCGAGTCGAAAACTTCAATATTTTAAAATAAATTAATATTGTTGATCATCTAGTACAATTAATACCCACTCATTTTTCTTCCAGGTGACGACGAAGTTGTTCAGCGTTTGCTGGAAGTTCTAGTGTAGCATGCGCTCTCTCATAGTCAGTTACGTTATTTTAAAGAGAAGCGACGGAAGAAATCTAAATATGCAAGTTAAACTTGAATCAACAACCGTACTTACTTAGAAACGCATTTTCTCTGTATGACTTAACATCAGCACTGGAAGTATTTTTATATTGAATTCGCTTCTCTTAATCCTCCATGACTGCAAAAATAATGACTATTATACTTGTATAAGAATGTACAAAAAGTTTGACCACCATTCCAATTCTAAAAACTAGAATTGAAATCGGTGCATACATAGCCCTCATAGGATGAGATCACCTCTAGCTCTTCATACTGTTCGTTCACAGAGCAAAACAAAGAGTTATAGGGGTTTTCTAGTAGTTCTTAACTATTATAATACTGTAAAAATCCGAAAAGCAAACTAAATTATTCAAAATTAGAAATAGTTTAAACTTTGGGATAGGTTCTCAGACACTTGTGATAAAATTCTAGGTCAATTGTATGAAATTTCAGGACGATGGTTGTATGGGGGTGTAAGTGAAGCGCCTTGAAATGTACAGAAAAGCTTAAGGTTTTGTTTTCCAGTAACTTATCGTGATGTGTATTTGGTGAGAATTTAAAGTCTGTAGTAAATCTCTTCCAAATGGAGGTGGAGATTTAATCTGTGAGGTAATAGTTGAACAGCAGTTATATTTTTCTTCTTTCATCACCTGACGTTTTATTGCCCAAGGAAAAAAGGATAAATGCAGCTATATAATCACTATATACACACCGGAAAAAAATCTGCTTCTTTTGTTTACAATAATGAAGAAAAAACGAAGAAAATGAGTGCGTGCCTTGATATTTCAGTACCGATCAGCTTTAGACATGAAACACACAAAGTGTATTTTTCTTTTCTTTGATCTGATTTATTTTTCTTCTTTACTGCTTGACGCGTAATTTTGCTTTAAAGAACAAAACAAGGTTAGGGAAAATTTTTATATTTTTATCAAAATGTAGAAGAAGCAGCACTCATTGTAAATTTATCCTATATTGTGCTAACTTCGCGAATTAAAATTTAAATAATTAGAGAGTACAAATTTCCACGTTCTGTACTCATCTGAAGCCCGTGATATACTACATATTGACTGGATCAACCTTCTAAGTGTTTGCAATTCTGTTTCATATAATTTACAGTTTATGTAAATATTTAATAGTAGATCATCGACAGCTGCTCGAAGTATACTTAATTAAAACTTCCTCAGCAATATCCCGAAGAGCAAAATTTAGCGTTGTATCTCAGGAAGTAAAAGGGGCTTTTTTCTAAAAAGTAGACGCATCTACAATACATCGTGCGTACTTCAAATTATTATGAAAAGTAAAATTGAATCCCATCTAAAAATTTTAATTCGCAAAATTTGCAAAATATATGATAGATTAACAGTGAACAAATTCACAATGACTATTTCTTCTTTCGAACATAGAATAAATGAACATCTCGATAGAATGATAAAATTTTATGCCGTATATGCTGACCTTCTTTCCTTTTTATCATCTATACACGTGATGTATACGTTTTTTTCGTCAGTAGGGTACTAACAAATAATGGGATATCTCTTTTCGCATATGCATATCTTTCTTTTCTGTCGACTCGGTGAAGCCGAAAAAATGTCCGCACGTGTGATATCTATGTGAAAAAAGATATCTCCTTATTTGCTAGTTCTCTAATATAAACGAAAAAAACTTTTATCGAAACTTCACTTTTGTATTTAAAAAAGAAATTTCAAACTTATATTGTAAAATTTAACCAATAAAAACTGTTTTCTGCTAAACTGTCAAGTTCAACACAAGTTACTAAGAATTAGAGACTATTAGAGTAATGATAGGAATTTATTTACACCTGTTGTTGCGAATATAATGACTCGGGACGAGTTCTATAGACTTTTCTCTAATATTCATCTGGCGGATAGTTCCAAAATGCCTTCAAAAGAGTCTCGTGATTATAATAAGTTATATAAAGTAAATGATTTTCTAAATCTTTTGAGAAAAAATTTCCAACAGAATTACGAGCTCGGAGCGTGTATTTCACTAGACGAGTCAATAATAAAACTCAAAGGAAGATCTTCTATAAAACAGTATGAACCATTGAAACCAACTAAGAGAGGATATAAAGTATGGGTTTTGAGCGAGTTAACTACAGGATATGTATATAACTTCGAAATTTATACTGGAAAAGACACGAAACGACATTCGTCGTTAGGAGAACATGTCGTCATGACACTAATACATGAAATAGATCTAAAGAATCGCCGATTGTTTTTTGATAGTTATTTCAATTCCTTACCATTGCTTTATAACTTGAAGAAAATGAATGTTCCAGCTACGGGTACAATTCGTTCAGATAGAAAATATTTTCCACTTGAACTAAAGAAAGAGGAAAAACTTGAAAGAGGCGATTATCGATATATGACATCTAATGGAATATCTGTAATAAAATGGATGGAAGTCCTTATTGCGTCAAATTATTTTCATCCCAATGTTGTAGGAGCAGTAAGTCGACGAAGGAAAGATGGGAGTAGACAGCAAATTTCTTGTCCATTGGCTATAATTCAATACAATAAGTATATAGGAGGAGTTGATTTGTCTGCCCAGAAAATAAAATCCTACGCCATCGATCGAAAGTCAAAGAGAAACTGGATAAGAATATTTTTGTATTTTCTAAATATGTCATTGGTAAATTCGTTTATTTATTATAAACAGACCTCTTCTTCTAACATTAGTGCATTAGAATATGTGTGTCATCTATTAGTACTGCACTAGTAGGTAATTATTAGAATAGAAAGAGGGTAGGAAGACCTTTGTCAATAAGTAATCAGAAGAAGAGACGCATCGAAAGAAGCATAAGTAATACAGAAAGTTCCGAAAAACCACAACTTTTGGCTCATATGCCAGAAGTTGTTTCAGATCGTCTTCGATGCGCTTATTGTAGCACAAAAGAAAGACAGAAAAGGACGAATGTAATTTGTAACTTTTGTTGTGTTGGTCATTGTGGGGAAAATTGTTTTCTGTTATATCATAAAAACTATGTGTATCAGTAATGAAATAAATAAATGTTTTAGCAATTGCGATACCAATTTTTTAAATTAAAATACAACAATAACAAAAATGTTTTATTCCTCTTCTGGTCACATGCTTTCTTAATTGTAATTTAACCACATGCTTCATAATGTCATCTAGTTACTTTATACCGAGTTTCATCAAATTCGGTTCGGTAGAAAAAATTCAGGACTCAAAGGGTTAACTGCCCAATTAATTGACCGGTTAAGCTGGCTCCGAAGACGAAAAATATATAATAAGAGGATGGTTATTACGTGGGTTAACCGAGCGCTCATCTGCTCTGACAGAATTTATATTTTTCAATATTCCTTGATTCCATTCAATAAAAAAAAGATTAGATTAAATTTTTCGTTTAATGTTTAACCCCTTAGCTGTTGAATTTTTTTTGTAACTAAACAGTACTCTTTTCGCAAAATAACTTTTAGAAATTAACAGATTATTTAGGAATAATGCAAGGCTTTTGCAAACAAACATATATGTTCAGCATAGCGATTTATCTCATATACAATTATTTGTGCCAGATTCCTAGGGAAAATATGATTCGAGTATCCAAAATTTCATAGGAGTTTTAGCCCTTATGACTCGAGTTTCACGATTACCAACAACCTGAAATGAATCTCTATTTATTGTTGGAACAATTGTCCATTTAGTTAGATCAATTTCATCATCAGTATCAGATGAAGATGAACTGGACGTTAACAACTACTCTCACTATTACCGTAAGAATCGTTGCTTGATATCATTTTGATTCTGTCAAAAAACTTGACCGAGCAATGAAGAATATACGCAAATGAAAATATACTAATATCGTTATAAGATCAGAGATGGGCGAGTACAGGGATTTCTGAGTATGAGTACGAGTACTGAAGATCGAGTACGAGCATTTTCTGAAAAGCACTCGAGTAATACTCGAGTATTTATTTTTCTGAAGAAGCCGCTGAATCCGAAAAAATTTCCAAATGGAACACAATTGTGGGAGCTATTATATATGTATCGGCGGATTGGTATCAGTATACTTGTACATATAGTCAGTATATGTACACGCGTGAATAAATGACGGATAAATAAATGAGATGAACACAAAAAGGAATGAAACATGACTATGCACATGGTTATGGTTAGCGGTGACGGCGTAGTCCGCTAACAGTATTTAAGAAGCGGATCTACACTTAACATGAATAATGGTACAATTGACACAGGGGAATACAATCGATATGAAACATCAGAGCTGGTAGGGTGAGCTCTAGTCAGTGCAGGATATTAGAGTTGATATAGAGCACACAAAGAAAGCAGGGCTAAGAAATTGTAGTCTTCATTTTTTCCCTTAAGATTCCTTTAACGTATATATACGTCAATAACAGTTAAGGGGTTAATTTACAGTTGTTAGATATTTATACCAACTAATAGACTGAACATTGCACATATATTTGAGTACAAAAGATATGAAACGGGATTGAAAAACAAACATAATTTTCTAGATTTTAGTTAAAATAAAATATATAGTATTTATCATTGTCATGTATTCAAATATTTAATCATTTTTACATAAAGATTTTGTGAACTTTGATAGTTGTTATCAGCTAACTGAGTGTTACCAGTTTGATAATGGTTATCGCCCTTTTCTGTCCAATACAGTGATATATCAATGGCTAATTTAAATAACAAACGGTCTTCTGT